GGCTGTTCCAGCCAAAACCTTAACAAGCTTCAGTTAGTCCAGAACGCTGCAGCCAGAGTTCTCAGCAAAACCAGGAAATTCGACCACATTAGCCCAATTTTGTATACCTTACATTGGTTGCCAGTTAAATTCCGCATTGAGTACAAGATTCTTCTGCTGACGTATAAAGCTTTGAATGGCTTTGCTCCTCAGTACCTCAGTGAGCTTATTTCCTATTATCAACCGACATGCCCACTTAGATCACAAGGTGCGGGCTCATTATTAGTACCCAGAATAAATAAAGTTACGTCAGGGGGAAGAGCCTTTTCATACAAAGCCCCCCAGCTTTGGAATAGCCTACCAGTCTGTGTTCGGGACTCAGACACAGCCTCCATCTTTAAGTCTAGGCTAAAAACTTACCTGTTTAGTCAAGCCTTTGGTTAATTTGTTTTCCTAATTATGTCCCTCTATTCCCCCCTCCCCCTACCCCCCCCCCCCGCCCCCTTCCTGAGCTGAGCGGCTGCCTGTCCTAAGAGGGTCTGACCTGAGATGCGGCCGGCGCACTGTACAGTGGTGTTAAACTGTATCCGCTTATACTGTTTTGTGTCTGTCCTCTTATCCGGTGTCGACCAGAGGAGGATGGGTTCCCCTTTTGAGTCTGGTTCCTCTCAAGGTTCTTCTCCTGTTGAGGGAGTTTTTCCTTGCCACTGTCGCCAAGGCTTGCTCACTGGGGCTTGGACCCGGATTCTTTGTAAAGCTGCTTTGTGACAACATCTGTTGTAAAAGGCGCTATATAAATAAATTTTGACTTGACTTGACTAGACGTAACACAGGAGTGTAATTGGACAATGAAAATAAGGGAGACTGGGATCGGTTTTCTTTCTCTGTCGTATATCCATAAATAAAGTTCTATGCAAATGTTTGAAGACCCCTGGTCAAATTACATTTTGTTGATTTTCTAAGTGAAAATAAGTTAACACATCCTCTACAGAGAACACACTTAAATATGGCATTTTTCTGCACATTTTAGTTCACAAATTCTATTTATTTGCTGAGTTTAACAGCACACCAAAAATAATACATACAGTATTATATATGCCATAACCTCTGCACAGGCTACACTTTATGGTTTATTTTTTCCCAAACATATTCAATTCAGCAAATAAACAGTATCTGTGCATTATTATGATGTGTTACCTTATTTTCATTTAGAGACTTTTGCAGATGACTTACACATACAGTACTGTGGAACAGTCTTCAGCACCTAAACACATTGTTTAAAACCATTAATTTTGGCATTATTTTGTGTTTTTGCTTGTAAAGTGTCCAGATAACATTTGGATAAATGCAAAAAAACATAAATACAGTAAAAGGTACAAGAATTTCTTATTTTTAAAGAAGTAGTCGATAACTTGTGAGCTAGTCTGATGGCCAGGAGTCCTTTTAAATTCCACATTGAATTCCATGATAACTAACAAATAATGCTGAGCTGCCAGGAGGGGAGGTTTTGGAAAGGGTTAAATACACATTTACATATTTAAAATCACTACTGTATTAATGTTATATGTGTTTATGGTAATATTAGTGTTTTTTTCTGAGCAAATAAACACTTAGTCCCCAGATAAACAACTTTTTAAATCTTATTTTCTCAAATGACAAAACTTTTGCACAGTACAATTAATAAGTATGTAACTTATTAAAATATAGCTGATCCTTATCCTTTATTTAAATAAAATGAATTAAATCTCAAACATCCTAATAATGACTTTATTATGGATGAATTACTATGGATATCCGCTTTTTCTTACGTTCTTGAACTTCACTCTATACAACATCTTCTATATTTCTATCTTTATTTCCCTACCAGTAGCACTCTCAATGGCCCTAGTTCTTCTAGCTTTTTTGTATAACCACTGATCTGGGATCAGTTTATGCCTTTTACAATGTACTCTAGTGTTCTGTGAGACTACATAGACTGATGAGACGTGACTTTAGATCAGTATTCTCAGTCTGAGATGCTTCATAAATATGGGCCTATGTTTGTCCAGCTTCATTCAAATGCACAGTCAGCAGGTGGTACTTCAACATTAGGATGTTTCAGTGTTGATTAGGATTCTTATTTTACCAATTAAACCAGCCTAAACTGCTTCCAGTATAAAACAAAGGAGACTGAACATGCTTAAAAAATATACTGTTTTATTTACACTTGAGTCATTTACATCCAGTATAAACTGAAATAATTAACTGAATATTAGGAGCAACGCAGTGCTGGGTGGGCGCTGCAGAGTCGAGCATGACCCTATGTTTTCCCTGCAGGAATTACAGTCTAATTTGTGATAATGATTAGATTAGAACGCATGCAGGCAGCCGAAGCCTTTCAGGCCACTTTCAGTATTCACGCCAAGAAGCTCTTCATGTGAAGAGGGGCAGAGGAGTGAAGCGGGGTTTATGCTGTGTGTGCGTGTGTGTGAGTGTTAATTGACCTCAATTTTAATGTGGTATGTAGTGCATTTTCTCAAGGAGGCTTTAGATGGTTCTCGCACGCAATGGACATTGCATGCTCCCCTAAAAATAGGCCTAATAAATATACATTATAGATTAGAAGCGACATGGTGATGTAGGTGTGGAATATCTTGGTGCAGCCTAAAAATGTGTGATTCTTTTTATGTGCATGTGTGTACATGGATTATTCTACCGAGTTAGTTTGCACTGCAGACCCACAGTAAAAAAAAATATATATATATTTAAAGAAACAATTATGTATTTAGACCTTAGATATTTACAAGTGGGGCCACAGTGGGGCTTGTTTCTAGACCAGGAATTACATTATAGATACCAGCCCAGCCCAACCTCTGCACACGCACACACACATACACAGCACTGCCTCTGTGCAAAATAACTTCTTCTAAAAACTGTTTTCATCCTCTTCATTTATTTTTCTTATTTACTATTTATATGCTGCACTGAGATGACCAAGGTGGCTAGTTTGTCATAAAGAGAGAACTGCTTAAAGCTTTTAGTTTAAATGTGATAAAACAAATGCAGTCAACATGCTACAAACTAATGCTAGCTATGTAAATTAAGGTCAGCTTTTCTCAATGCCCACCTGCTCGGATATGTCCTAATCCTCCTTAAGTAGCTCTTTCATTCTTGTCTTCTCTGTACCTGACACCTTGTTTTTTTCAGTTGTTGTTGCATACAACAATCTCTACATTCACTATGCAAAAAACAGTAATGAACTCTGTAGAGAGCTGCCTGTCGTGTCAGCCAGTACCACATTCATACCGTCATGCTGAATTTGAATCGCTCTGGGATTTTGTTAGATTCTTATTCAAATCTCCGTTCTGCCTTAAATAGTGCAGCAGCTACATGCAAGCACCTGTACAAGTGTCTGAATGGAACTACATCATTTCAGGTGGAACAGGTAATTAGAGTAAGAAGCCAGATTCAGCTTCATCTAATCTTTACCCACTGTATGAGTGTCAGTTACAATCGGTAAACCATGTCTGCTCCACTTGAGATGGAGGCTGCCGGTTTAATCCCTAAATCTACACATTTACACCTGGATGTAACTTTTATAGTTTGTCTGAGCGTACTTGTGTTTATATGTGTGAGTTTATACATTAGCTCACTGTAAGCAGCCCACCAGGAATTCTCACTCTCCCGATTACCCACTCTGGCAATGTTTACAAGGGTGTTATGATCTATTTAAACCCAGGGCATTAATGGAGATAGCAAAGAGCTAAATCTATACAAAATCATCATTTATAGGGTACTTTCTATTGAGAGGTCACTGTCCCAAACCATAACCCCTAAAAATGTTTTTTTTTTTTTAACGCATTTCGTCAATGTTCATTTTTTAAAAGTTGAAAGGTTTAGAATTATGAGTTAAATTGTTATAAAAAAAAATGCTGTCCCATGCGTTTTCATGTCATTACGAAAACATGATTTTTAGCCTATACATGGAGCCTTATTTTAGCCACACCCCTGCAATTTAGAGCAGGAAGTGTCCCTCATGACCACATGGTGAGCTGTTATGTACCATTGTTTTGAAGTGTATGTGCCCCAGTCACAAATCAGGGTGTAACATTAAGAACTGTCCCTATATTTTCTGCAGTTAAGTAACCTTTTTGTGTTGTACTGAAAAACATTTAATTGCATGTGTGTACAGCTGTTCAAAGCTGTGTTTGCTGGTTGTGTACTAACTAGCATTTTTGAGCTCTGCTCAAAATGAGCTAAAATTGTCGCTACTGAAACATTTGTTTAAAGTTTTGTAGTGTTATGACTTTTGTTAGTGACAAAATGGAATATTCAGTCATTTATTTTGATACAATTAACATAATTAAGGTATAGGGTCACTCACAGCAAAGGTTAGGAGTCCAAAATGTGTTCGGTAGAATGATCCATATACAGGCTATGTGCGCGTGAGCGCGAGAGTTTGCGTGTGCATGCTTGCCTGTGTGGCTTCTGCTATGCATGTGCAGCGCACATAAAGACCGCCTGCTAGATGAAAAGGTTCGAACAGTTTAAGCCTCAAGTATTCACAGCAAGGAAACATGAAGCATCTAAGAGTCTACAGTGAAAAAGAGCAACGGAACATCCAATAAGACTGCAGAGGAGTGTTACCTCTCTCTCTCTCTCTCTCTCTCTCTCTCTGGGTTACACAGTTTCATGTGTTTATATCAAAGTCAAAGTCAGGATTACTTTACTAGTTCATTAAAGCCATTGCGCGTTCCCGAGTCCTCAGGATTAGTCGAGTCAGTGGAGGTTTGGTGAGCTGTAAAGTTTCTGAATCTCAGCGCTTTCCTGTGGATTATATCAGTTAAGCCTCTTAACGTCAGTTAAGCTGCTCATCACAGCTCGCGCGCCATGCTGCAAATGAAAGTGGCGCGAACACCTGGCAATTCCTGCCCTGCTGCTGCTGCTGCTGCTTGACCGTCCCAGCAAGTCCGGCCAGGTTCCAAGCGCATTCCCGCGCGCAGCTCCTGGAATCCTTCATGTTTCTCTCTGCGCGCCCCCTTTCACAATGCCCCGTCCACGCGCACCACGGCCAGTCCCTGCGTAGACGGGGGTGGCGGCGGCGCCTCGGCCACCTTCTTGCCTCTGCGCGCGAGCCTGGCTAGGGTGCGCGCGGACGGCGCGGCCTTAAGCAGCAGCTGCTTGAGCCCGGCGCGATACTCGCGGCGCACGAGGCAGTAGAGCACTGGGTTGAGGCAGCTGTTGGTGTGCGCGAGGCACACGGTGAGCGGGAACGCGTAGGCCTGCGCGTTGTAGAAGGCCTTGCTGAAGGGCACGAGGTCGAACTTGATGAGCACGCCCCACAGCGTGAGCGCCTGGTTGGGCAGCCAGCACACGAAGAAAGACAGCACGACGACCGTGACGGACTTGGTGACGCGCGAGCGGCGCCGACGCCGGCCGCGCTCGCGCTCCTCCGAGCTGGGCGGCGCGCCGCTGCTCACGCGCCTCTTTAACACGAAGCGCAGCAGCAGCAGGTAGCACGCGCAGATCACTACCAGCGGCACGAGGAAGCCCAGGAGCACCTTCTGCGTCTGGTAGAGGCCGAGCAGCAGCTGCGGGTCCCAGCCGCCCGTGTCCGGGAAGCGCACAAGGCACAGTTCGTCGTCATCGGCCACGCGCGCTGTAGTGGAGTAGACGGCGTGCGGCAGCGTGGCGGCCAGCGCCACGAGCCAGATGGCCACGCTGGCGCGCCGGGCGCCGCCGCCACCGCCGCACGCGGCCGCGTCCGGGGCCGTGCGCAGCGAAGAAGCCAGCGCGCAGTAGCGCGCGACGCTCATGGCCGTGAGGAAGAAGACACTGGCGTACATGTTCATGGTGGTCACTGAGCTCACGAGCTTGCACATGAGCTTGCCGAAAGGCCAACGGAAGTCCAGCGCCGTGTCCACAGCCCAGAAGGGCAGCGTGAGGACGAACTGCAAGTCCGTGGCCGCGAGGCTCATCACGAAGCAGTTGATGGAGGAGCGCCGCAGGCTGTGGCGCGAGCGCAGCACGCATAGCGCTAGCACGTTGCCCACCAGGCCGAGCGCGCACACCACCAGGTACACCAGTGCGATGGCCACGCGCAGCGCTGCGCTCGCGCCGTCCGCGTGCGCCTCCACGGCGGGGTCCTTGGAAAGCAGCTGGAGCCAGCAGCGCAGCGAGAGCTCGCTCCGGTTCCACGGGTCGTCGCCCTCGTCCGCGCCCAGAGCGCATGGGCTCGAGCCGGGCGGAGACGCGCTGCTGTTCGCCTGCATGTCTCGCGAAGCCCGGACTAGGTTTAGATGACCAGCGAGGCGGACGGTTCCCAGTCGTCCATTCTCGAAGCGGTTTCGCTGTGTGATCGCGCTGTTGCGCGTGAGAGGATAAAAGGTGCTAGAAGCGCGAGGACTCCTCCGCTTCCCGCCACTCGCGCAGAACTGAGCTCGCGCGGCGCTCTTGCGGGGTTTATAGCCACGCGCTACTGGTGAGAGAGAGAAAAACGCGGGAAGCGCGCGCATCCTCGAGCTTACTGTCAGGAGAGGGAAACTCCACCGACTTTTCAACATCTCTGCACAGTTAAATGGTTAAGATGTAAACAAAGTCATTCAGGTGGTTTGGTGTGAAATGCTCAGTTCTAGGGAAACTTACTGAGTCAGAATTGTTCACTGTGGTGGTGAATGGAACCAGACGACCACCTGTAAAAGCTCCCTCACAGAAAGTTACTATATGAAGATGATAGATTTGTGATAAAACTTTGGCCTAAAACTCATTTTAATCAATGTATTTTAATTCATTCATGGTGGATGGACACATGAAAGGTGTTCTAAGGCAAAATAATCCCCAGAGAGAGCTTATTTTTTCATATTTACCACTGTTTTACCATCAACATTACATATAAAAAATCAAGTGGTATAAGCTCACTGGTGGTTTTGGATAGTAAACAAAATGGCTATATTTGTGTTGTAGACATCAAGACCCCTGGTTCCTATCAGCACCACTGTAAAGAAATCTGAGTCAGCAAGTTTCTCTGTAAAGAAACATTTTGAAAACTTGGTTGAATTCCCCTTTAAAGAGAACGCTCAAGACCAGTCTTGTTTTCGTCCACTCAAATCATATCAGTGAAATTTGGCTAATGAGTTTATAAACTGGCTAATTAAAATGAAAAAAAAAATGAATTAGTTACTGAAGCTTTACTAATGGAATTAGCTAATGGAGCTTTAAATGAAATGTGGCTCATTACAGTTTACAAATGAAACCAGCTAATTAAAGTTTACAAATAAGATTAGCTACCTTAATTAAACTTTACCAATGAGGCTGGATAGTTTATATATCTGATATTTGCTGATTAAACATTAAGCAGTCAAATTAACTTTAAACTTCAAGTAATATTAGTTGGTGAAAATTTACAAATTATACTTTACATGTTAAACCGGCAAATTCAATTTAACATCTGAAATTAGCCAATGCAGTTTTACAAATGAAACTAGCCTATGTAAACTTTACAAATGTCATTTGTTGCAGCTTTAATCACTGACTCTATGTTTATGTATTGATCTATTCTAATAGTGTTCAATCTTTTTGTTTTAGGGAGCGTGCACAGTTTGTGGTGGGCCGAACGGCAAAAAGACAAAACATAGGTCGATTTTTGAAAATATGTTTTATAAAACAATGAAAGTTAAAGTTATATATAGAATGGAAATGCACCAATCAGCCCCAACATTAAAACCACCTTGTTTCTACACTCATTGTCGATTTTATCAGGTACACTGTGTAGTTCTACAATTACAGACTGTAGTCCATCTGTTTCTCTGCATACTTTGTTAGCCCCCTTTCACCCTGTTCTTCAGTGGTCAGGACCCCCACAAGATCACCACAGAGCAGGTATTATTTAGGTGGTGGATCATTCTCAGCACTGCAGTGACACTGATGTAGTTGTGTGTGAGTGTGTGTTGCGCTGGTCTGAGTGGATCAGACACAGCAGTGCTGCTGGAGTTTTTAAACACTGTGTTCACTCACTGTCCACTCTATTAGACACTCCTACCTTGTTGGTCCACCTATTAGGTGTAAAGTCAGAGAAAGTAGCTCATCTGTTGCTGCACAGTTTGAGTTGGTCATCCTCTAGTCCTTCATCACTGGTCACAGGACGCTGTTGGCTGGATATTTTTGGTTGGTGGACTGTTCTCAGTCCAGTAGTGACACTGAGGTGTTGAAAAGCTCCAGCAGCGCTGCTGTGTCCAGTCCACTCGTACCAGCACAACACACACTAACAACATATCACTGTTGTCGGAGGAAAACCTCGTATCTCCAAAATGGTAACTTTACACGAGAGAGAAAAAACCTACGTTACTTTTAATGTAAGTCAATGGAGCCAGAATTTTTCAATTTGGGCCGTTTCTTATGGTCTGTTCTTCATGACATTTACACACAATGTGAAGGACAACAGGCATTTTAAATTATGTAAAAAACTGAAAATGGCAAAAATAGAGATACAAGGTTTTCTTCCAACAGTAGCGATATGCAGAGAAACAGAAGGACTACAGTCTGTAGCTGTAGAACTACAAAGTGCACCTATATAGTAAGTGGAGCTGATAATATGGACAGTGAGTGTAGAAACAAGGAGGTTTTAATGTTATAGCTGATGGGTGTATGGTAATTTTCTGGTATGCCAAATCAAATTTCTTACAGGCCAACTTTGGGCAGCCCTGATCTATTCAGTTTCAATTCATTTCAGCCAATTACAAAGCTCAGATGAAGCTTTAATGGCCTTTATTTGTCTCTATTGACCTAGTTGTGTGTCTAGTTTCTGCTGTTACATTGTGGCACACACTTCACATCAATACTACTCAATATTCTCTTCATTTTCTGCAACATTGAGAAAATGTCTGCACAACCTTACATACGGAAAGAAAGAATAAATTCCTTATAGCGTTCTTTATTTCATCATCTATCATGTCTGGGTGTTTGTATAGGCAGGGTTTGTGTTCATGCATGTGAGAGCTGTGCGTGGCAACACATCCAGGGTGAAAGAGTACTTGAGATTTGGAGTGTTTAGTATCTCCATTTGCATTTGAAAAAGGGTCAATAATATCACACGTCATATTTGGCCACAGGCTTCATTGGCATGCAAACCAAGCCAACTGAAGAGAGAGAGAGAGAGAGAGAAAAGAGAGATGCAGGCTACTTAGCATTCTGTGCGTAGTCTGTCAGGCAGTTGCCTGGCGGCTCTCTTCTTCCGCCTGTAGTGCATGTCCTCATCTTCGGCTCCATCTGTACTCCCCCTTTCCGCAGTTTTAAAAATACACCTCCCGTTCACAGCAAACTCACAAACTGTTCTACGATTTGCGCATTGCTGTCGTCACAGCTTTTGGGAGCCAGATCTTCACAGCTGGATTACCTAACTGCTGCTGCTCACTGAGACACTCTAGTTAGTTAGGTTTCACCAATCAATCCTGTCTCTTCAACACTAACCAGGACTTGCTAATATCTTTTCACAACAGGATATTAGCAATGAAGTTTTGCTAGGAAAGTGTCTAAACATGGGTATTTACCCCAGAGCGGAAGGTTAAACAGCAGTAATTACTGCAATACTTTTCTCCTTTTTTTAACTATTCTCCCCAAAGCTTGCGGTAGCGTCACATGTGAATCAGTGCTGTCATTAGGCACGTTTTGCACAGGAACATACTAGCAGTAAAGGTAACTTTTATAATGTTAAAGCCTCTCCAAGGCAATGTGTGTAGTGTTGAAGTATGATGACATGTACAATGAGTTCAGCAAAAGTGGGACATCAAGTAAAATCTGTTGTTTGTTGTGCTCATTTCACAGCTTTTCTATTCTTCTGTGGTAGATTCTAATGGGCAATGTATTGAGTGGTCTAAGCCAGTGGTTCTAAATCCTCTTTCTGAAGGACGACTGCCCTGCACATTTTAGAGATTCCCCTGTTCCCAACACGTATGAAGCAACAAATTAACTAATTAAGAAGCCCTTTCTAAGATGAACTGGTGGCTTTGGAGCGGGGAAAGCACTACAATAGGGGTGGCAAATTCAAGTCCTGGAGGGCTGGAGTCCTGCGCAGTTTTGTGGTTTTCATGCTCAAACACTCCTGATTCAACTCAGCCATTAATTGCTAGGTTTAGTTGGTGTTTTAAGAGCAAGATCACCAATTTGTGCTGGACTCTGGCTCTCTAGGATCGCAGTTTGCCATCCCTGCACTACAACATTCAGGGAAGTGGTAATCCAGGTGTGATCTTATGATGAGTTTTAGTTGAGTATTGCAGCAAAACCCTCTACCAACCCTGTAAAACTCGCCCCCGGATTCCTATGGCCTGTGCTCCTTTGACATCCAGAGTACAAGCAAAACGAGCTAGCTAGCAAAATTCTATAGTTAGCTAAAGGGACTGCTGTAAGAGGTAATGTTATTTTTTACCGTATGTACTGTTTTCTCAACACAAATGCCAACTGTTTAATTGGAGTTTTTCAGGGGAACTTGCTAACATGCTAACTTATATTGCATAGACGGGCTAACAACAAGCAAATTGTCCATTGCCACTGAATAACATTGTTGATGGGTGCACCATCGCCCTCTACTTTGAGATCCACCTTCACGAGGCACTGGACTGGTGTACAAATTTTACACTCTGTTTATTCTCACTCCAATAGGTCTACATTCCCATGCACATTTAGCCCAAAATTCCTCATAGCTGTCCCCTCGTAAAATTTTCTAGATCCTCCACTGATTGTCCCCTGACGTTCTCATTGCAAGATCTGGCCCTATGAGACTATGCTACTCCAGTGGCTGGTTGCACCAGCTCTGCATAAGTTAAAACGTAGACTTGTTGTGAAGTAAGTGGTTCCTATGTTCAGGTTTATGCATTACTAAATCCAAACGAGTTGCATCACACAAACTAGTTTTAACGTTGAGCTTAGTAGTTACTAAATTTTTACACCTCCCCTCCAGCAGGTTTAAGTTTTGGGGAAGCCATCAGAAACTAGAAACCATCATTCAAAAAGCTGCATATTTGGTTGTCTCAGGGAAATGTTAAAGAATAATTTGTTTTATTCAGTTTAACCCAGAGCTGCTCAATCCTGGTCCAGGAGAGCTACCACCCCGGAGACTTCAGATCCAACACACCTGGCTTATATAGTCAGATGTCCCTGAAGGCCTTGATTACCTGGATCAGATGTGTCGGATTATGGTGGAGCTAAACTCTGCAGGGTGGTAGATCTCCAGGACCAGGATTAGGCACCCCTGGATTAACCTGTACACATTGTTCTCTTCTATGCTGGAATTCTTTCATGGAGAAGTCAGAGCAGGTTGCCGCTGCGTTTCCATGGCAGCAAGGTTACTTACTGGCTCTGAACATGTTATCGTCATGTTGAAGCGACATACGCAGTAGTTAGTTGTTATTAGTTAAGACACGACTTATGGATTTGTGGTACAACCAAATTTAGTAAAAGGATAGTTGGAAACTAACTAGTGTTAACTAAAGACAAAGTGAAGACTTTGCGCACAAACTTAAGTCCAGGACTCTGGGATTGAGAAACCCCACTCTAGGCTAGAACTAATGTTAAATCAGAGGTCTACCGTTAGACCCTATGGATGACAATCTTCATCTCAACAGAGTGTGGTACAGTGGCATTCTTACAATTTGTATGTATTTATTTATTTTGTCATTTACACAGAGGCCAAAGCCTCATTTATGAGCCATATTTACAATTAGTTGCAATTAGTTACAACCACAAAGGTTAACATTGAGCATCATTTGCTTATTCACAGCTACTTTCAGGTTTTGCAGTTTGTAAACAAAGCTAGCTTATAAGCATTAACTCATCATATCATCACATACTTTCGTTTGTACGTTTAATTTGTATTTGACTAATGCAAGTGGTAACACCAGTGACATCCTTTGCACGGTAAAAGTTATAAATACAAGTTGAATACTAGTTGTCAACATCAACAATCCATTAAGAGTGTTCAAAGTACGTCAGCAAATCTTTAAGGATCTCTCCTCTAGAATAAACACAGCAATATGACTTTGGGGTATAGTGTGCTCAAGCAACACTTTAGAGAAAAAGTTGTCATTTAAGAAAAGACAGTACAAAGTGAAACGCCAGGGGTCTTTTTTTCATCTTTTTCCCCTGAAGGCTACTCTACACTTAGTTTGACGTGACGAGTTAATGACAGGCCGGAAGCGCGCACTGCTATTTCTGCCTGAAAAGCTTTACAGTCTCCGATTGTGACCAACCCACAGGAGACCACCATTCCTCTGCTTTGACCTCCCTAAATTGACAACAACAAACGTCAATAAGTCATTTATTCCTCTAAGCTTCTGCCTCACTCACTACAGTGCCAGAAAAAGTGGAAAAATAGTTTCAAAACTGGGCACCAGAGTACCTTTGACAAAGACGTTCATCTCTGGCCCTACTGTGCTAATTCTGTAATTTGTTGACCTTGCTAACACTCAGAAGGTCCAATTACAGAAAGTGTTTTTTGAGCTCATGTGATAAGAAGACACGTGTAGATGGAGATGAAGAAGAGGCAGAGCAGATAAACTCAGTTTGCAGACACTTTAACTATGTTTATTAACCACCTCTATCATCTCCTCTGTTCTCTGAGGTGGGGAGATTGACTAGCAGAAGAGTGCTAAACTGGGAAGCTAGCTAAATATTCTCTGCAGCCTTTGGCCTTAATCTCCCTGTGTGCTTTGGAAGGGTCATTCTCATGAAACCGCCTGAAAAGATGTCCATAAATATTCAAGTGCCATAAGTATCAGATAGATAAACAATATTCATGTCATTTAGTAGATTACTGAAGCTTTATATGGTACAGCAAAAAGTTTGTGGAGTTCATTTTTCTAGTTTTTTTGTTTTACCTTAATTCTCAGTTTGTCTTACTAGCGCTGTCGCCTCACAACTGGGCGACCAGGATCCTTTCTGTGTGGAGTTTACATGTTCTCTCCATGTCTGTGTGGGTTTCCTCTGGGTGCTCCGGTTTCCTCCCACAGTCCAAAGACATGCAGCCAGGCTGATTGGACACTAAATTGCCCCTAGGTGTGAATGTGTGTGTGAGATTGTGTGTGTGTGAAAGTATATGTCTGTCTGTCTGCCCTGCAATGGACTGGCGACCTGTCCAGGGTGTATCCTGCGTTCCGCCCAATGACAGCTGGGATAGGCTCCAGCACCCCCAGCGACCCAGAGGGATAAGCGGTTTAAATGATGTGTGTGTGTGTGTGTGTGTGTGTGTGTGTGTGTGTGTGTGAGTTTGTACTGTTGAATATCCTTTAATGTTTTCCCTGTAAACTGTAAATGCAAGTAAAAAGGAAGATGTCAATGGCCTCAACTATATGTATAGATATCGTAGTATCAGCAGAAGAAACACAAGGGTAGCCGTGATCTTCTGCATTAAGTGTTTTTTATTGAACACACCAGCAGAAAGGAGCACATACAGAACACTGCATTGGGGGCAAGGTCAACTCCTGCCTCACACTTCACCCTAAGGGTGACACAAAACCCACAGCCCCCAACACTAAATAACATGTACACACAACTTAAACCAACAGACAACAACATAAACAACAGAAATAGTCCCTTTTCAGGAAGGGGTGCGCATACCATGAGTCACAGTGTGTGGTAATCGGCATAGCCACGCCTCCAAAGTCTCAGGCGCCAGCGTCACCCAGTAGCAGAATGCTACTATATGTATACTGGCCGTGCTACCATTGGAGTGTGGGAGGTGTGGCCATGCAAAGCAGGGAGGCGCTGCACTCGCAATAGGAGAGATATTTATTGTGGTTGAAGTTGTTGATGCTTATTTGGCATGAGTTTACATGGGTGGTAGGGGCACTTAGGTGGGTTAAGTGTCTATCATGAAAGAATTGTATGGTTAGAAGTGACCTGCCTGCTTCACAGCTGGGTCAGCTAGTGCTAAGCCATATATATACACATCTATATACATCTATATATATATGCATGTATCTTACTGTGCTGCAGTAATGACAATTTGGTCACTCAAATTGGAAAATGTTACCAAAAATCATTCAAAATCAATTAAATCATTCAGGTTTGTCTTCTATTGTACAACCAGGCATCACTGCTTGTATATCCAATACCTCAAAGAATGAAAGCATGAAGTTTTAGTCATTTTCATTTTTTCAAGTTGGGTTTTTTCAGTATTTGTCATGTTTGTGAGAATAATCCATATGCATTTTTGCAGACCAACACTTTTTCCCAATTGTTTTCAATGGGAGATAAGTTGTACACGCCGTGTGCTGCTGTCTTTTGTATACATCTTAAAGCGGCCAAATAGCAGTTTTGTTTGCTGACCAATCAGATCAAAGGGAAAGCGGGCCTTCAGTGACTGCTGAAATGGAACAGGAATTAGTGGCTGCAGTCGCTGAGTACCCTGAACTGTATGATTTTAGGATTGAAAAATAATCACAACATAAACAAAAAGCAGCTGTTTTTTTAGTTTAGCTTGTTTTTGCTTGCTACATAATAGATCACTTTCTAAAAGGGCGAGTATCAGAACTGACTGCCTGTACATACCTGAATGTTAGCTGGTTAGCACAGCTAATTGACAGTTGCGATGCTATTGTTGCTTAGCAACAAAGAGGAGTGCAGCTAGAAGTTAAAGAGTTCAAAAAATACAGCGTGAAACCACCATAGAGATAAAAAAGTGCACCTCGTGTTTTTCAGTCTCTAGAAAAAAAGCAACATGTACCCTCTTTATTCAGTCATTCAGCAGACTTTACAGTAATTTAACATGACAAAACTTTACAATTCAGACTGTTGTTTTTGTAATGGTCCTCAGTAAATGAGGGAATTGAACATCACAGCAGGTTTTTTGCTCTTCTTCTAGCAGCACGCCAGCACTGCACTGTCTGCATAATCTGCCTGTTTTAAATTCAGACTCTTTACAGACGCTCATATCATTCATGAAGCACAAGCTGTTTCTCATAACAGCAGATGAGCAATAAAATGATAGCGAAGCGTTGATGCATCCTAATGGGTTGGATTACACATTTTATCAAAAATGTATTTGAGAGGGACAGAGTTGGACCTTATACTGTGATTGGCTAATGAAACATATAATAAAAATATGTTGTTTGGCGTATGGAGGCAAACATGAAAATAACTGTGTCCCTGCTAAATTTCTGACCAATCACTCATGTGTGTAATGTGGTGCACTTGAGTCATTGCAGTATGGAATCAGTCGAATGAAATGTTCGATGTTAGCAAACAAACTAGACCTGAAAACCCAACCACCACCAACTGAAGACCAAGTACCACTCCACATTCTAAATAACAGCCCCTGCTAAGTTAGCTTGCGGCAAAGCAATGACAGATGCCATCAGAACATCAATAAGCTAAATTTTTTAAAACGGATAGCCTGATTATCAGCTATCCAAAATCAGATTGAATTTGTACAAATATATTCATCAGTCAATGTCTTCAAACTACAATTATTTTTGGTCTGGAAATAGTATATAACGTGCTGTTTTCATGATGGCCTAATGGGCCTCGACCTCATTGCAACAACATGAGTGATTCTAGCTGATATAAATATTTAGGAAGAATGAAACAGAGATAAAAACCACTGACATAACCGCCTGGTTTGCTCCAAACAATTGAATAGGCAGAGATTCAGTCTTATGGATACACAAATAAAATGAAAGGACATCATTTGTCCTGCTGCTGCACTCAGTGTAAGGCTGAAGCCCTATCAGTTTTCTCTGCTTACTTCATCTTTGTCTAGATAATGTTTTTTTTAAAGAGCGTCTATTTTCTGACCACCTTGTGGCCACTTCCCATGGGATTACATGTTAAATTTGCAGTGGAAGAAACAGTTAGTGGGAATACAGCCTGTAGTAACGGCTCCTGTAATAATCAGCTTGATTTTAATATGCACAACAACCTAGCTTTGAACTGGAGCAATGTATGGCCCAGGAAGTGTTAATGAGTCATCTAATTTGCACAAGAGATCAAATGCAGTCGGAAAGAAAGTTCTGCCTAACTCTGAAACTGAAACTGTATCATGGTTATTACAAACACTTGGGGGAAAAATGATTTTGAAAAAGTTTTTTTCTTTCGTTAGCATCTGAAAGTTGCTTCTATTATGAATTCCAAGGACATGACGTGCTAACATTTCTGTCTCCTGTTCCTTATTAACTTATATCAATACAAAACAGTCGGAGTCAATAAAGAGTCTGGCATCACAAGGATTCGGTACAGCCTGTCAAAGCAGTCCCTAACTCTTTCTGAATAAACTTGATGATGTCCACTTTTCTTTCTTGCTTTTTTTGGGTCACACGAGTGCAGACAAACACGTTCAACCATTCAGACGACTCATTACATCATTTCCTGTCTTCCTGATGATACGGTCCCGAATCAGGGCGTGACAGCCAACCCAATGTGGCCATGTGCCCAGTGATGGGATCGCCATGGTGATGCTCCTCGTCTCCATAGCTACGGTTGTTGGGTAGACTGCCCATGTCTGCATATTCTGGCCTGATGTGCATCTTGGTAATCATGGAGGTGGCCGTCTCCACCCTTCTATCCACGGAGAAGACTGGCTGCAGGCTATGGACCTCCAACACAGAGCGCAGTGACCGCGACTGGACTAGAAGTGGAAGACACAAGCGAAAAGCACACAATTAATAGCAAATAAAATGGATATTAATCATTTTACATATTATTTCACTCCCTTGATTTTGTCTTGTGTTGTTATGTCTTTGTCATTGTTAGCACGTAAGTTTAGGCCACTATTGTAAATAAAGATTTGTTGTTAATCGCCTGCCTGGTTAAATGAAACACTGTAAAGGACTGATGTAAATTTACAGTGGAAATACCACAGTTCTTTTTATAGGATTTTACAGTAAATAGCTGTTATATGCAAAGTATTTTGGGAAGGTGACCAGTAGTCTTGAGCAGCCTTGCTCTGAATACTTTAGCATTTTGCATGTTTTGGTATTCCCACCACGATAGTGGATATGTTTTACTAATTCATTTTATACTGTTATAATTAATACATATTTGGTTACTGCTTTCTTTGTAGTCTTAGTGACTGATATAAGTGCATGGAACTGCTGTAATGTGAAGTTCTCAGAGAGTGAATACTTCAGATAGCGAGTGATAAACAGCTTCAGGATTATTTACTGCAGCTGCTATATGTACAGTCAGTTCCATAAGTATTTGGACATTTTTGCCTCTGTACACCACCACAATGGATTTGAAAAGACGCAATCAAGATGTGATTGAAATGTAGACTTTCATCTTTAATTCAAGAGGTTTAACAAAATACTGCATAGGAATTACAGCCATTTTTACTCAGTCCCTCCATTTTCACATGCTCAAAAGTAATTGGACAGTTGACTGATAATCAGTTTCATGGCCAGGTGTGGCCTATTCTCTCATTATTTCATGACAGATTAAGGAGATAAAAGGTCTGGAGTTGATTCCAAGTGTTAAATATGTATTTCATAGCTATTCTTGGGAATTCTCAATATGCAGGTGTTGATACAAGTGAAGGGGGGCATCATTAGAGTGAAAAAAACATAACAAATAATAAATAAATCTATCATAGTAATAGCAGAAACTCAGCAATTTAGTACATTCTTAAAGGAAAGAATGCACTGGTGATCTCAGCAACAATAAGCCTTGAAGACCACTAAAGACAACGAAAGTGGATGATTGCTGAAATTTTCTATGGTGAAGAAAAACCCCTTCTCAACATCCAGTCAAGTCAAAGACACTCTATATGAGGTTGGTATATTATTATCAAAGTCTACAATCAAGAGACGCCTTTATGAATGTAAACCACTGGTAACGCACAAGAACAGAAAGGCTAGTTTAGACTTTGCTAGAAAACATCTAGAAAGGCCTGCCCAGTTCTAGAACAAGATTCTTTGGACAGATGAAACCAAGATTAATCTGTACCAGAATGATGGGAGGAGAAGAGTATGGAGAAGGAAAAGAAGGGCTCATGATCCGAAGCATACCATCACAACATCTATCAAACATGGTGGAGGCGGTGTTGTGTTATGACATGGGCATGCATGGCCGCCAATGGAACTGGGTCAGTGTTTACTGATTCTAAGAAATTCTATTTAAAGCACAGATTCTAAACTTTCAGTCGATACCACATTTGTGTGTATAAGAGGAGATATTTTATTTTGATTAGATTTTGATGTAAATGTAATTCTTTATATAACTAAACATCTACTAAATTGTATACCTGTGTAATTACTTCAATGTTACATTAGCTTCACTAACAGTCATGGAATCTAGTGCTTTATGCGAGACATCATTTCTGTATTCAGCTCGACTGAAGGGCCAAAAAGCAGCTATAACCTTGTAGACCTCAGAGAGAATGTAGACCTGTGTAATCAGCTCATCATCATTTGTAACTGCTTCAGTGTGCAATCTGCTCAATATTCAGTTCAGAGACTCTCAATTAGGTAGCTGGAACATCTCGGTCATTTCACATACCAAGTTCATATCACCTAGTGAACTGAATGAACTAATCAGGGGGTGGATGATTAGTTGGTATGGGATGAGTGTAGCAGAGCTGAAAGTGGCAAAATTGGACTGTATGAAGTGGCTTGGGGCCCCGGAGGCTGAGAACAAAGCAGCTGGTTTAAACCATAAATCAGCATTCATTAAGAACTTCAACAACTCTTGGGCATAAATGGTGAGTCATGACTGAAGCACTTGTTAGAAATTCACTGAAAAAAACAATAAAATGGCATTTTATTACAGATCACCCAGCCTTTCAGGGTGACTGACTGTTAACACAAGGATCAAACTGCAGAATTAATGCATGACATAACACAACAATCGGAGTTTCTGCTATGGAATTTTAGTGCCAGTCACGGTGTCCGGTAGTGATTCGGGTTGCTGGTGTGAAAAATGATCCCCATCCTGGTTTTACTTCCCTTGGTTTCCAGACATGATTCATGTTATTGCATGATCTTGAGCGAAGCTCCATCTTCCATTAAATGGCGGTAGTCCAGGGGCCAACTCTTCCCCAGAAAAGCAGGGGATGGGGCTTCACTACAGAATTCTAATAATTTAAAAGTTTATTGGTACTTTCTTGGTATTTTTCCTGGACATTTTACTTTTAATTTGCCAGTTTTGCAGAGTTTTTACTGGTCAGTAACAATATGTGTAATCCTGAGACTACAACATCAACTGCACTGCTCAAATGCTCAAGCAAAACCAAGTTCCTATTGATACCACTGATGAGTTTATGGACTTAGCTGATTGTGGACCAGTTGAACAGGAGAAATCTCCCCTGAGTAGTGTTTGATGGGGGTGGTGGTGGGGAAGGGGGGTCTTAGGGAGAAAATGAATTTGTGCTAGCACAGTAAAGTGGATAACAGGCTAAATTGGTACCTGTCGTGATTCCCTGAGCCTCAGAGGAAAACACGGATGTAAAACAATCAATATCACAATGACTTAGGTTGCTTGCCATCGAGCCTTCACACCACCACGGGCCTAGTTTCTTTAACACTGCCTAAAGCAGACTGATTTATGGAGAAACAGCAGATTGTGTGCTAAGGATCTGTAACAGTACATCACAGAGACATGGAACTGCAAGCACATCTCTGCCTGTATTGATAACAGTTCTGTTTCATTCACACTGGGGAGCCTCCACCCATTCTAATCAAATTTCTTTGTATAAAAATGTATTCCCACCACTGAATAAATGTCAGTACCAAACATTTGAAGCACTTTGAACATGCAAAAAAGGATTTCACACTTCAACAAAACCAGGGGTGCACAACTCCGGTCCTGGAGGGCTCAAACACACCAGTGAATACTGACAGTTAACAGATGAGTTGAATCAGATGTGTTTAAAGCAGGTAAATCACTAAACTGTGCAGGATACCATCCCCTCCAGGAGTGGAGGTCTGCACCACTGAACTAAACAGAGAACCTGTTACTAGTGGAAATTGGCCCAAATTGGTAACACTAATGTTTTCATCAAGGTGGACTTCAGTGAGTGGCTAACGTTAGCTAGTTTACTAGTTTGTTTATTTGCAACTATGCGCAACAAGTGACATTATGTAGTTATGTAGAAAGAAGAGAGCATAATTTGACTGCTTGTTTTCTATTGGCTCATGCTTCCAAGCGGCCTGGGCACAAATATTTTGGGGACAGTGACTCAAGAGTATTAAAGGGCAACATGATGAAAATATGAATGAAACTAAATTTAATTTACTGTACATTGTAATCACTCTTTAAATCAATCATAAGAGGCTTTCGAAAGTCATCCAAAAGTACTAATGATACTATCTATGCAAGGATTTGAATCCCAGTCGCCAGCACGTAAAGCTATGGCGTTACTCACTACAGCACTTTTATGTGGTAATTAGTTACAATTCTATTTATGTTCACCATTTATATGATTTTTGGTAGAACCCAAGCAAACATACAAGCTCTACTGCCCGGGAAAGACTGAGCCTCACGTGGCTGAACTGTATCTTGGAGAATGTCAAAGGCGATATGAAACACAGTTGTAATACATACCAACCAAGAGGGCACTTGGGGCTCAACAGGGGCTCCCACATTCCTGAATCCTTTCTCATTCAAATGAAATGACTTTTTTACTCACATTTGGTGTGCCCGCAGGTTTACATGTTACATTAATATTAAAACCGTTTTTTCCTTCTCCTACAAAGTTATTTCAAAGATACAAAACTTATAGTAGCATTATAGTCAAGTGTAATAATAAGCAAAACAATCTATTTTTACTCACTTGTTTCTAACCTTTCACATTAAGCTACTGCTTCTTTTTTGCTATTTGATTTTTATCTTTACTGTTTGTAATAGTAGCTTGACTGCTTTGCTGTTGCTCACATTTTTATTTTCAAACTTTAGTGTTTGGTTTTAGTGCAAATATATCACAAAAAGATCTGCCTGCGTCAGTATTTCTTTGATGTAATTATACTTTTACTTGAATATGGGTTCAGGCTCTGATAAAGGGGTTATAAAATAAATAAACTGTTGCTTTAAAATGGTTGAGCAGCACTATGACACAGAAATAGGGCTGTTACAATTACTCTATTAAACAAGATTTTGAAAAATACTGCTGCAATTTTATTTTCTCTATGAATCAGTGGTGATACCTGGCAGTTTGCATGATAATGCATACTTTAAATTCCATTACTGGTCTCTCTTACAGTAAGAAACAGAGTCTTATTGACCCATTTATATGCATTTCTTTGCCACGTTGGACTAGATTCATCAAACTTGCATGCAGAATGTGCAGCATGGTAAAGAGTTGTTCTTAAAGTCAACATGGCTGCGGTATTTTCACTGGGGTCCTAGGAAACGATTAAAATCGACATGTAAATGAGGTCATACATATTAAAGACTCGTGCCAAGTGAAGCTCCGTCTGGCTGCTAGAATAGATACAATGAAGGAAATCAAAAAGGAGAAGGAAAACCAAAACAGAGTTACAATTTTGAGCAAATAATAGTCCATTGTTTGGTAAACATGCTTTTAAACTTTAATAAAGACATAATGTCAGAATATTTTGTCAAAAAAAGAAAAAAAATCTAATTATAACATCGTGAAATTCAATTTATTTAGCATCTACAATTTCATTTTTCATTGTTAAGAATTAAAGTCTTTTTAAAGAGTGCGGGAAAAAATCGATTTTTAGATGCATCGCGATGCGGATGTGACGATTCTGAATCGATTCACAAATGTCAAAAATCGATTTTCTAAATATTTATTTATATCATAATGTTGATGGAACGCAAAAGGCAGACTTGGAAGTGCGGAAGTGCAGCGCCCGGATAGTATGTGGCAGCACACAACAAAAACACTACTGGATGAGCGAGAAATCTGATCGGCTCCCTCTGCATTAAAGCCAGGTTAGATCAGGAGTCACAACCCAAATGATAAGAAGAGCCATTTTGTCCTTTCAACAAAAATCAAACCACCTTGGGAGCCACAACATTTAATGTCCAGTATGTCTCAGTATGTGATAATATCCTAGTATAGACTAAAAAATATAAACGAAAACGCAGATTTACTTCGCTCTGTTTTAAGCTGCGTAAGGTGGAACAGGAGGATTCGAAAGAGAAACTGACTTCAGCTTCGCCACTTTTTAGAGAGAGACAGTCTCTCGTTGCAGGTTTAACGTACCAGGAAACCAACTGCGCTGCTTATAAATGCGAATGACGCATCGCTGCTATGTGACCTGCAGTCTGCACGCCGGTTCTCAGTCGTTGCGAAACAGGGCTTTCGCGCTATGTTGTACACGACCCGTCTCAAAGATACTTTACTGACACAGTGATCCCCCCTGTCTCTACAACGAGACCAAAACTGAAGTTATAAAATCACTAAAGAAAACGGGTAGAATAGCTGTAACGTGTGCTGCGTGGACATCCACTGACACTGGATCTAATTTCACTGTAACTGTGCATTTTATTGCAGATGAGTAGCAGCAGCTTCTCATGCTCCAAACAAGAGCAGTGAATGAGAGCCTTCTAGTTCACTTGCCACATCACTTCCATTTGATTTATTAAAAAAGATATTAGAAGTAAATTCATTACTGATCATTACAAATACTTGGCTTTAAAAGTACAAAGTCACTTTAAATAACAACACAGAGTCACTTAGTCACTTTAAAATGTATATTGTCTCTATATTCTGTGTATATTCTGTGTATATTTAATATATTTCCGTTGGTTTTTCTTGTATTTTTACTTATTCACTTTCTGTAGAGTGATTAGCTGAGCCTCACCACAAGCATTTCAATGCATAAATGTCCTGACATGTTGTGCAAATGACAAATAAACTTGAAACTTGAACTCGAAACTTGAGCTCACACAGTGAGAAAATATAAATGCTATATAGAAAAAAAAGATGCATTGAGATGCATCGATAATCGTTTTATAATCGCATTGCAGCCACCCCTATATAATATATATATTACTTTCCACTCACAGGAGAGATTTATGAAGCAGTGAATTTTATGCAGGAATAAGAGGTCGTTTTTAAGTACAATGCCAGTTGAATCTGCCAATCTAAAATCCTGCTCGAGTCTTCTTTCTTATGTTCTCTTACAACAGCAGCTACAAGGTTTCCTGGGAAAATTACTGCCAGAGTGGGTCAGGCGGGATTGTGTCGTGGTATGAATCGCTACAGGCACCTGTAAATGAGATAAAAGTAGCTCACATGGCACAAGCAGTACTCAGTAGCCAGCAGCTGGTAATCCTTGTTCATGAATGAGACACCACCATACTATTTGCTCTTAACGTCATAGTGAATCATCCACTGCGTTTCATGAATCTGGCCTGTCGGGTTTTTATACATTGTTTTAAGTGTTTTTAAAGGCTTTATATCTTTTTTCCAGTAAAGGATTTTGCAATCTCTTGTTTGGCTTTAGAGTTTTCTGAAAATAGTCTGTACAGTACACACACAGATAACTTGATTACTAATATATTTAATGAATGATGATACAGATGATACAGATAACAGTGTCTATCTTGCTTAGTGTAAAGTCTGCACAGATGCGCAGCACCCAGTGAGTGGAAGTGACTGTGATTCTGACAGCATAACACTTCTCACCTCTCACTAATGTGAGCAGTGATTAAACAAAAGCAAAGCAAAAGATCAAACATGAGCCAGGAGCAGTTCACTCTGCACCCCTCAAACAGGCATCAATCTGTACTGCATAATCAGATGCAGTCAGCGCAGCAGGTCAACAAGAACTGAGCACAAAAGGTACTTAATTAAAAGCACTACTTCAGAGGCACTTCAAAGTGAATTTGCTCTGAAAAGTACTCAATAAATGCGTCAAACATGAGAAGTCAGTATTTGTATGTTGTAGAACAATCACAGGCTCACGTTCCAAGAGGACCTAATATGTTCTTCAGCCTATGTGGAGTGTCAGGACCATTATCAGTGGTGAATGTTTCACCACTACTTTCACATAATCTGTATTTTTATGAATGTCAAAGAGGTAAAAATACAAAAGGAGCTCATTCATGTTGTTCATTTGATATTCTGTTTTTCAGCCTGTGATAGAGAGAGAAATATAAACCTCAATCTTGGTCCCCTGAGTTAGTTGACTCTACAAAGGCTTTCCTGAAAATGGTTTCTTTGTTTTTTAGGTTTAAAAGAATTCAAAGTAGCTTTTGCATTCTGGCTCCAGGCATGCAGGGTGCTGAGGTGGCCACGCTGGTCGTCCTCATGCTCTGAATCTCTGCCTCTGCAGCAGCTCAGGAGTAAAGCTCTTTGCAGCAGGGTGACCACCACCCAGGACTGCTTCTTCTTTTTCTTGCCCTTGCTAGTCTGACTCACTTCAGGCAGCGGTGGGCCCGTGTTTCGGCTGCTGTGGCTTTGACCAATATCCTTTCTTGCCTTGTTAGTTAATTAAAATGAAGCTCACATGCACAGCTCGAAGTGCCAAGCTTGAAATGCAACAAATTTTTCCAGATTTGGGTTTTTATAGGACTTTATAGCCATTGTGATGACATAAAGGCGTGGCACTGCAGCTGTGTGTATGGCACTATGAGTCTCTTTGCTGCCTGTGCGGTCTCATAAGTCAGGGCCTTAGAAGCCAGCGTGGTGAAGGTACTTGCATCCAAATCAGGTTTGAGAGGCACTTCCAAAGGCCGAGATACGTTGCGTCGTTGCCAAGATATGGCAGAAAAAAGTCCTTTAAGACAGCTAGCATGCTGAACTTTTTATAACCGAGATAAAAAGTATTATATTGGTACACAAACAAGTCTCCCTCCTCCACTGCGTCAGTGCTCGTGTTTTCTGCTATTTTTTCCTAAGCGCATTGGCGCTGACACAAAGGATTATGAGATATGTAAGACAGCAAAGGACACATTTACACTGCCTTCAAAACATGGCAGACTAAGTATGCGTTACTAAATAAGTAGTCTTTATTTATTTAAAGCCTTATTATAACTCGTATGTAAAAACAGTGTAAAAGTTTTTATGTAAATTTACTGGTTAAGTATTTATGCATTAAAAAGTGTAATCAATTATATCAAATATTAAAAGTGAACAGTCTGTAGTAAGCTTAATACGTCACTTAGTATGTCATAAGCTTGGGATTTTAAGGGGTTAACAAGCATCTTAAGCATCAAATGAATGTTCTCTCAGCAGCTTCTAATGCGTGAGTAGTTAACAAATGGATGCCGCAAGCAGTGGCAGTGGAATGATTGGGCAGTACAAATAAGAAAAACCACAAATTAAAATTAACTTGCAAAATATGCGACATGTTCAAACTATTGTTTTTGTTTCTGACCATTTAAACCTCCACTTTAACCAATAAGCAGTACTCTGGGGCGTTTACGTGTTTAAACTTGGAAATAAAGGAAAAACCCTTTCGTCCAAAGCCATCACCACCGCCTAAAAGCACAAAAGTAACCAAGCAAACCAGAAAACAGTTTAGAAATACAATAACTCTAGTTATCCAACTTTGAAAGTGACTCATTAAATCTGAAAATATAAACAGCAGAATAACAGAAGAAAAATCGGAGCGGGTTACGTTTTAGTTTTATGTATCTTTGTATAATTTGTTTCCTGTTAATACTTTGTTGTAGCCACTGTCCACAGGAGTGAAATTCAACTTTCAGCCCACCCACAAATTTGTTGCGCCCATCCAGAGCAGAAGTCATGGTGACGCTACTGCTCACAAGCCAGAAAAATTATGACAAGGAAAATGAAGAAGAAATGTTCAAGATTCTGCATTATTTCTAGGTCGTGGCTGACTGTGTTGAGGCCTGTTTTTTTAGTCTTATCTCTTTTAAAGAAGCTTGTGACACAACTCTCAGAAGGATTTGATCTACTCATCAGAGGCTTTCGCACAAACTTATGTAGTCCATGCCAGCTCGAGTGCACACTGTCACTGAAGCAAGAGAAGGACATATCAAATACTAAGAATTTCAGAAATTTGTGTTAAAATGTCAAAGATTCTACTTTCATTCAAATTGTTATGCTGATAATAGAATTTGTAATGAACATCTTTCTATTAAATTAGAAAGGAGTGCAAAATAGAAGCATTTTCACTAGGGACTTTTGGACCCTACTGTATATAGTGAGCTGTTTGTAGAGAATATTACTATGATTTTTCTTAATACATCTCTACAGATAGTTATATGAATTTTAAAATTAGAACAAGGTGCACCATCCACTAAAATCTAGGAGGTACTGTATCTAGATCCAGAAAAATTAAGCCCTGCATTTAAGGGAAAATGTATAGAGAACAAAATTTATCAGCTTTAGAACTTGTTGTTTTTCCTCAGTGTGCACAAGGGATAAAGATACCATTAATTTTTCCAATAGAAAAACAGACCTAGTGCTCATCCAGATGCTAACGGTGGACTACAAAATGACAATACGTCATTTAATACTGAAGAAAACCACTGTACAGCATGCAGATTTAGTCTTATTTGTCAAGAACGTATTTTATGCAGCCAGACCATCTCTAGAGATAACAGAGAAACTGACCTCTAGCGGCAGTGAAGTCCCCTGGCTGCCCAGCCCCACTGAGGGACACTGGCTGGAGACTGGGAAACAGGATGAGAGAGAAAGACAGGAGCAGCACCTGCAAGAGGGGAAAATACAGAGATTTGCTTTAATAGCCTTTTCAGTTTGTGCTACAAGTTAATTTGCTGTGTGGCAGAAGTCGTATACAACTTGTATATACTAATACCTGTAAATGTACGCTCTTAAAAAAGATGGTTCTTCAAGGGTTCTTTAGTAAAGAAAATGGTTCTGTGTAGAACATCATGCATCATGCATCATGACAGAATTCTTCAGATTGATAGAAAATATCCATTAATGTGCTATAGATGGTTCTATATAGAACCTTTTTAAAAGGGTTCTATATATGACCAAAAACACATTTTTCTATTGTTACAAGCTTGACATCCTCTTGGGTGCCATATAGAACTATTTTCCAAAAGGCTCTATATAGAACCATCTACAGCACATTCTTCATCAGTCTGAAGAACACTTTCATGATGCAAAGAACCCTTTAATCAGGGTTCTTTGTGTTCATGATTCTACATAGAACTATCTTCTTTACTAGACAACCCTTGAAGCTTCATCTTTTCTAAGAGTGTAGCCTGAACCAGAAAAATGCTAATGTAGAAGATTTTGAGGACTCTGTTTTCATTCTTACTAAAAGAGGTTTGCTTAAGGTGCAAATTTACCTTGTACCTCAGCCATGTTTGAGGTCTGAATTAGCTTCTTTAGTTTTGCACTGAGGCTAATGCATGTAATGGAAGCTAATACCAATGATAAATAGCATTGTGCAAACTGCAAATCATTACACAGTTATCTTAAACCATGTCAAGTTCATAAGCAATTTCAAACAGACTTGCTTATGTTTCTGACACTGTATGACACACTGTTATCTATAAACGTGGATAATGTGGCGTGAAGATCTTCGTCACTTTTTTCAGAAACTGAAACGCTGAGCACTTCCAAACAGGCTCAATGTAGTTTGCAGCCCAGTTTGTGTTTTCGGGGATTCTGTTTCTTTTAGCGTTTTTGCAGTAGTTCTATTTGCTGGAACTCAGCTGCTCTGTTATCTTGGTTGTCGTCATTCCAACAACTGAGATGACTGTGATGGTCAGAGAGTTTTTGTTGATGGCGAAGTTTCGAAAAACGAACAGAGGACGAATACAGTCGCTTATCGTCAGGTACATATGTGTTCGAATTCAATGTCATCCAAACCATCCGTGTCGTTCGCGGCCACTTTGCGGGCACTTTTATTAGCGGACGACATTGAGCAGCCACATCGCGGCCACTTTGCGGCCACTTTTATTAGTGGACGACATTGAGCAGCCACATCGCAGCCACTTTTATTAGCGGACGCCATTAAGCAGCCACTAATAAAACTGGCTGCGAAGTGGCCGCGATGTGGCTGTTCAGTGGCGGCCACTAATAAAACTGGCCTTGAAGTGCAACCACTTCCGCCTGTCACCCGGCACGCAGAGATCCAACTCCTACTGCAAGCTGAGGCACCTGAAAATGTTCTAACTGCTATATCATTTAAGGTGGAACGGGAAAATTCGAACAAGAAGCTGGCATAAAGGAAGCTAACTTCATAGAGAGGTTGGTTGGCAGGTGGGTAACATTAACTTCTTTTTGCTGTTTCACAGAATCAGTAGGTCAGTACTGATAGTATCTGCTTAGCTTCACAGCAGCAACCGTAGTGACAGTTTGCTAACCCACAATCTAGCTAGCTAACGTTAGTAACAGTACTTGCTGCATTCACTCTAACTTAACAATATGTCATTGTATTTACTTATGTGGTTTCTGACACTGTATGACATACTGTTTTCCATAAAAATGGACAAAAGTATGAACACCATTCAGGCCTCATGATAGCTTCTGCTGTTGTTTTAGCTATGTGATGTACTTTTGTCCATTTTTATAGATAACAGTGTCTCACACAGCATCAAAAACACATAAGCAAGTCTATTTCAGATTAATTTCCAGCCCCCTCCGTCTGTCTGTCTTTCTCTCTCCCTATTTTCTCTGACCTAGAAAGCCACATGCCTTGACCCACAATCAGAACAGCTGTATGGTAAAGTAGTGGCTAAAGACACAGAAGACGTGCTGGAAGGGACTTGCGGGTAATAATATGCATCCACTATATAATGCATGTCATTCTCCAACATTCAGGTAGGTCATTCCGTTCACATTTTGGTGCCAATCTGCGTTCATTTGATTTGCAATCATTCATTCTGAGCCTCTTATAAATTATTCATTGATCAAAACAAGCAGCTTCCATACAAGGGCTTCAGTCTTTTTCTCATTAAGAAAGTTTGCATCTCCATCTAGGGCATGAATCCTCTATGGAGCACAAACACAAGAACACAGTCTCAACTGCAATGCAGTGTCTGGCGTATGTGAGTTTTACAAGAATGTTTCAATGAAAAACCCAATTGAAGTCAATCAGCCAGACATGCTATGGCCCAATCCCATTTCTTATTTTTACCCCTACCCCTTGTTTTCGAGTGTCACCTTTCCCCTTGGAACTAAGTCACAAGAGGGAGTGGTTGAAATCTTCCCCTACGAAATGGGACAACCCTCAAATAAAAAAGAACATTACTTCATTAACAGATACCAGAGGTGCTCTGTAGGCGACCCTGCCAGTCTGCAGTGAGCCGCCAACCCCTAATTATTTGGTGATATGAAGCTGAAGTCAGCTATTCCCCATCTTCTTGTGCAAATTTTACTGTTCCATCTTAAATGGTGCAGCAGTTCTGATGCCTGACACACCAGAACAGAACTGCTGCGCCATTTAAGATGGAACGGGAAATGTAGCTAGCTAGCTACCGAGACATCAGCATACCACTAGCGATTTTTTATGCTTGTTATGAAGAAAGGACCACAATAGATTGAAAAGACACCCTACCATTATACGAGAACGTGCAAAACAGAGTGCTAAGTGCCAAGTGGTAGGGGCAAGGGGTGAAATGGGATGGGCCTTCACATTTCTACCTTTTTTCTGTTGGAAGTACTCATCGCAGGGTAACACTGTTTCCGCTAAAGCAACAACAATAGCAACAATGACAAGTAGAGCGTCTGATCACATCCTTAAATTTCAGTCTTGGCGACTGTGACAAAAATAAAGTAACACCTTTCTGTGGTGAGATGAAGTGATACGAACGCCTGTATGTCTGAGGTTAATAACTGTCCGTAAGGCAATAGCATAACTCGTTATACCCAGCATTTCCGCTCCTCTGTTTCTTGTGAAATTGGCCTTTTGGGCCTTAGTGTCTGAATTTCGCTTTTTCAGTTTTGCACTGGAACTGTGAGACTGATGTAGCTAACAAGTAATGGAAGCTTAAAGCAACCAATATCCCACAAACTGCATGTTTAAATTAATACTTGCCACAAGTCATGTTGAGTTGTTACCCCAGAGAGCAGGGTGACATTGTTCCATTATTGATTTTCTATCACAATTATCATTTTGGTCAAGCGTGGAATTTCAATGTCAACATTGCGTTGAATCAATTTCAAACTATCGATGAAAGCTGATGCTCCTAACGTTGGCCACAATGACAATGAATAGGCATTCATTTATAGTTGACCGCAAGATGAAAGTCACCAACTCATAATATTAGCAGTAATGACATTGAATATACATTGACTTATAGTAGACTGCAAGATCAGGTGACGGACACAGCAACACAAACTTCCTCCTGCATCTCAAGTTCTCCTCACAGCTCACTCCCAGACAGCAAACATATATCAGTCCACTGGCTTGATAAGTTCTGTATTTGACTGTATGCCACTGCTGGTCTACCCTTGGACCACCCAGACAGTTGTTCTGCATACAAGGTCTAACTAGTTTTTATCTGTTTAAACAGATTTTGGCCTTTTACTTTGGAAAATAGACAACTATTACAAATATTTGAGAGAAAAAAATTAATGGCTAGATTAATATTTTGAAAATGTTGTTGCGAACATTGTGCTGGATTGGTTACAGCTGTATAACCAGCTTTATTTATTACATTGCTGTTAAAACTATTTACTAAACTGCATTGCAAAGGATTACGAAAGAAGGGCTGTGAGTGGAACATAAGTGATGAATAGTGACATTTTGTCTAATACCCTGCTTAACCACCAGTGGGCCGCTGGGAAAATGCTGAACAAAAAACAGTTGGTTGCCAGCTTTGCAATCAGCGGGCTAACAATGGTCTGCTATCCTTTTGCTATCTAGACTGCTGACTCGGTAAGAGGTAATATTTTAATTCCTAGCTTAATTTTAAAAAGCCCGATGTGATTGATTGAGTGATATAAAACATTGTCCTAAGATTGAATGTTAATCCTTATTTACCGTATGTTACAGTGGCAAAATCTCCTGCTCATAGCTGTTAATAATAGCTATGCTAACTGGTGAAAATGAACAATTTAACGGCCATTTATTGAAATGAGAAATGGGACCACCTGTTTTTAAAATAAGAGAGAAAAAGAGAAATGTTCTTATTTTTGTGATTCTTGCACAACTGGTTAAAAACACAGCTTGATTTTGTGCTTTTACTTTTCAGTGCACCCAAAGAAATCAAAAAATCTTGTGAAGGAAACTCTTCAGCGTGACTTTTTCCACTATTGAAAATTTCTTTTTAAAGCTTTTTCTTATCTTACAATTCAGTAAATCTGAATAAGGAAAATGTTGTTATTTGTTTTGGGCCAGTTGAATTTTTAAGAAATTATATTTACTGTAGATAAAGTAAAGATGGCCTAGACAATGAATGCGTTTACATGCACTTCATAATCCCATAACTGCAGAAAATCAGATTTTGTCAGTAATCCGGTCAACGCGTTTACATGCACTTGAGTAATAATGCTGCTTGCATATTTCCAGTACCATCATCTGTTCTGGTGCATGCGCAGACTGAGAAATCCAGAAAAAAGTCAGAATAAGTGTATACATCTGATTACTGAGCTAAAATCCAGCTGTCTTTATTGGATTTCTTAATCAGAACCAAAAACATCAAAAACATCATAAAAACATAAACATCACCTAAAAGGCACCCAAAATGTGAATATATCTTTCAGTGTAAATGGTGCCTTTACAGATATGCAAATTATCCATGCCCTCCATACCATGACATGGCTTTTGCACTTTACACTGGTAACATTCTGGATGGTCATTTTCTTCTTTGGCTTCGGGGAACACAACCAGTTTCTTAAACAATCTGAAAAGTTGACTCATCAGACCACAATACACATTTCCACTGTGCATCAGACCATTTCAAATGAGCTCAAGCCCAGAGAAGTTGACGGCGTTTCTAGACATTGTTGACATGTGGCTTCCACTGTGCATAGTACAGTCTTAACTTGCATTTGCAGATGCAACAAACAACAATGTTTTTGACAACGGTTCGTCAAAGTATTCCCAAGAATGCCCTTTACACGCAGAGATTTCTCTTTTGGTGATATGCACCACAGAGGCTGAAAAACATAAAGTTCTTGCAACTGCTCATTAAGGAATGTTGTTCTTAAACTGTTGGATTATTCACTGAGGCATGTTTTGGGAAAATGGAGAGCCTTGGCCCATCTTTGCTCGTAAAGCACTAGGCCTTTCCTGGAATATTCCTTTTATACCTTAGCATGATTGCGTCACCTGTTTAAGATGTTCACAATGTTCCCTGTCTTAAATTGCTTTGTTCCCAACTTTTAAAGAATGTGCTGCAGGCATCAATTTCAGAATGATTGTATATTTACAAAAAAGAGTTACATGGATAATGGTGCTAATTTTGTCAATGAAATTTTTGGACTATAAGTATTCAATAATTACCTAAAACTGTAATGTTAATGTAAAAAAATATTGACAAAAAATTATGACAAAATCTGTTCATTATGTGCTGATGACTAAGGACGAGAAAAAAAGTTGTCTCTGTTTGGGCAGACAATCTAGATCACAGTAGCCATCTTAAAGTATTGATTGTTTTCCTTTTTAACCAGTCATTTACATGCATAAATCTGCAAGTGCAAGTACAAATTCTAACTGTCTCCATATATCTTTCTCACTGGATGATATGGATGATTTTTTTTCCTGCTCAGTGCTTACTAAACCTCGGTGCTTATAAAACTGAGAGAAAGACTGAGTGTCAGTCAGAATGGAGTACTATGTGGATTAAAGATGGCTGGAAAAAACAACCAATTTGAAAAGACACCTGAAGACACGCCATCCTGCAGTGTCTGCCAAGGTAAATATCAATTATGTATGTTGATTGATTCGATAACATTAGACAAACATAATGTTACGTGTCATAGTGGCTGCTGTGGCTTTGGAAGCGGTGACAGTAATGCATTGACTAAACTTACTTCTCATGGAATTTTTACAGCCATGAGAAACATCCTTCAGCAAAATCCATTACAGTATCATGAAACTGTCTAAAACATTGCCTAAAATTAGACCAAAAAAAGTTCCACTGACTAAACCTTGACTAAAAAATTAAGAAAGACTAAAATGTGACTTTAAACGAACACCAATTTTCAGTAAATGACTGCGACTAAAACTAAATGTAAAACATCATGTTTATTGTCTTTGTGCTGTTTTTGACAGTGGCTTTTGTTTGAATAAAGGTCAAAGTGAATTTACAAATCATTGATTTCTGTTTTTATTTGCATTTCAATACATTTGCATTACTGTCCCAACTTATTTAAAATGAAGGTTTCTACAAAGTTACCTGAGAAAACTGTATTAACAGCTATTAATCTAGACAGTAAGCATTTATTCACTACACTTTTAAAATAAGGGTGACATCAAAGGGTTTGGAGTGATGCTATAGAGTGTGATTCCCAAATAAAATGAATGAATGGACCCAAACTTGTGTTTTCCTAACCATATCACAAGATATCCATAACTTTTTTGAAAAAAGGAAACTCTTGTTACTTTTTCTTGTATTAATGTTTATTTGTGTTTATTCTAAAGTTATATAGTGCCTTACTAGGGAAAACTCACCTAATGCCTTCAGACAAGTAGTTTAAAATGTTCTTTAAAGCTGGCCTTAGACTTTTGCACAGTACTTTATCACTGCAATGTATTGTTATACAAACTTCTGGAATAAAACCTTCCTGAAATGCTTTCTGTCGTTCTTGTAATGCGGGCTGGATTTCTCAACATTAAACCGAACAACTGTTTTACAAAAAGTCATAAAGCCCTGCGACTGTTTTGTCTGTGACGTCAATGACATTCGTTATCTCAGCAAGATACGCTCTTGTCAAATAAGACGATAATAAAAAAAAAGGCCTGTCATCTTGACAAGGCCAACTTTTCCCATTGTCATCTCACCAGGATGCAGGTGCCTGTCTGAGCCGGTTTGCAGGAGCCGTTCATGACCAGAGCCTGCAGCCTCCGCAGCTGCTCCATCAGAGAGCTGAAAGAGAGAGAGAGAGAGATTGTGATCTCATTGTAGTAACGCTGAGAGAAAGGAGAAGACATATAGAGGACTGCTGAAATGGAAAAGAAGCATTTATTCTGAATGTGGGCTTCACAGAAAATCTCATTCAACCTAAAGGTAAATTACACAGCACAACATTTGCCATTAATTCAAATGATTTTTATTTTGCACTTTTTCATTTGGATTTTGTTTTAAAACAGCTGTACTTTCTGATTAGCCTAACAACCACAAATACACTAATACAAAAACATTGATTACTTGACAAAAAAGTGCTTGAGTAAAATGGATCTCACCCAATCTACTCTAACAGCATGACAAACTAAACATAATTTATATTTAATATCACATTCTAAATTTCCAAATGACAAAAATGTGTGCTGTGTTCAGCTGTGCGCTATGAATTGGGTTGAATGGTATATTACTCAGTGTTCTGGGGGAAATGGATAGGTCAATGTATAAGATACTAAAAATGTAGAGGCCTAAGATGTCTCTATATCTCATTTGGCATGTTTCAGAAAGGTTAGTTTGGTAACGTTTCACTGTTGGGTACAATTCATTAGGCTACATGACACCTACATAAGCTTGTCATGGCAACTGACATAACCCTACAGAAATGTTTATAAATGCGTATTAAAATTCTTGGTAACACTTTATTTGGTCCACTTTAGATGCTTTGTAGATACTTAACCCTTGTGTGGTGTTGATGTGTTTGTTACTCAGCGGTCTGGTGGACCCACTGTATCTTTAAATCAATACAGCCATAACAATTTATGTAAAAATTCCAGATGTTTAAAATATCACAAGTGGCCAGCGTAGGGTTCTCCTAGGTCCTAGCCCTATCCCTGGTCTGTATCCTAATGCTAATCCCACCACTGTTTAGAATCAACTGAGTTTGATAGTTTGTTAACAGTTCGAACATCTGTAGATAATCTATAGGGGACTATGGTGGACCATCCAAATAAAGTGAGACCAAATTCTCAAACTGTATATGCAGCAAATGACACCTGCAACACATGTGCAACACATTTTTGGTCGGTCTAAAGAACCATTTCACCATGTAAAGAACCATTTAAGCATGCAAATCGTTCTTTAAGTGTTCAGGGCTCTTTATAGAACCATTGTCTTTACAAAAGAACCTTTGAAGAACTATCTTTTTTAACCCTTATGTGGTGTTCGAGTCTGTGGGACTCGTTTACCAAAACAAAAAATTACGTGATTTGGTATTATGTCAACCACCGGTTCTTTGGCCTTTGTTCATTTTCTGTGAAGAACATATAAAATAACACATTTTCAGTGGCTTCACACTGTTCACCCCCTACACATTTATATTACACATGTGGTGTTGGGGTGAACCTGCGGGGAAAGTGTGGAGGTGCTGTGTCCCTTCACTTGTTCTCCTCCAATATGTCCTGCTGTTAGTGTGTGTGTGTCTGTGTGTGTATATATGTTTGTATGATTGTATATGTGTGTGTGTGTGTATATGTTTGTATATGTGTGCATGTGTGAGGGTGGACAAGATGACTGGCTGCTGCTAAAGGAGAACCCTACGCTGGCCACCTGTGATATTTTAAACATCTGGTATTTTTACATAAATTTTTATGGCTGTATTGATTTACAATAATACAGTGGGTCCACCAGACCACTGAGTAACAAACACATCAACACCATACAAGAGTTAAGCATGTGGTGAAATGGTTCTTTAGACTGATGGAGCGTGTGTTGCATATGGTTCTATATCGCACCGGTTATGAAAAGGGATCTATATGGCACCAAAAAGGGTTCTGATATTGTTACAAGCATTACATCGTAATGATAACAGAACACTTTTTGGTGCCATATAGAACCATATGCAACACATTTCACCATGCAAAGAATCATTTAAGCATGCAAATGTTCTTTGAGCGTTCAGGGTTCTATATAGAACCATTGTCTTTAAAAAATAACCTATGAAGAATCATCTTTTTTAAGCATGTGGTGAAATGGCTCTTCAGATTAATGTAGCATGTGTTGCTTATGGTTCTGCATGGCACCTTTACTGAAATGGGTTCTGTATAGCACCAAAAAGACCTGTGATATTGTTACAAGCATGACATCTTAATAATTGCAGAACACTTTTTGGTGCTATATAGAACCATATGTAACACATTTTTGGTCGGTCTAAAGAACCTCTGCACCATGCAAAGAACCATTTAAAGGTGCAAATGGTTCTTTGAGTGTTCAGGGTTCTCTAAAGGACCATTGTCTTTACTCAAGAACTTCTAAAGAACCATCTTTTTAAGCGTGTGTTGAAATGGTTCTTCAGATTGATGGAGCATGTGTTGCATATGGTTCTATATAGCACCTTTAATGAAAAGGGTTTTGCATAGCACCGAAAAGGGTTCTGATATTGTTACAAGCATGACATTGTAATAATAGCAGAACACTTTTTGGTGCCATATAGAACCATTTGTAACACATTTCACCATGCAAAGAACCATTAAAGCATGCAAATGGTTCTTTGAGTGTTCAGGGTTCTAAATAGAACCATTGTTTTTACTAAAGAACCTTTGAAGAACCATGACCAAGAAAGGGTTCTGATATTGTTACAAGCCTGACATCGTAATGATAGCAGAACATGTTTTGGTGCTATATAGAATCTTTTTTGAAAAAGTTCTACATAGAACTAAATGCAACATATTGTTGGTCAGTCTAAAGAACCATTTCACCATACAAAGAACCATTTAAGCATGCAAATGTTCTTTGAGTGTTCAGGGTTCTATGTAGAACCATTGGTTTTACTAAAGAACCTTTGAAGAACCATCTTTTTAAAGAGTGTACTACATTTAAATGCTGGCTTGCTGTTAGGACAAGGTGTAAGTATCACACAATAGGGATATAAACAAGAATCATGGGGATCAGATGTGAGTCACAGTTTAAACGGATATGAACTCCGGTGTTATGATGCTCTGGTTTGTGAGCTTATTAATAAACAGTGTAGAGTTTTAAATGTGGAGTCTTACGTGTTGGTTTTCTCCAGCTGGATCACTTTCTTCTGCAACTCCAGATTCTGCGCACTGCAGGCGGCCATTCTAAATAAGACATTATGCCATCTATTAATAAATCACACCATTATAGCTCACATACACGCAGAGGGACCCCATGAATCATATCCAGTACATACTGAGCTTCTCTACTGAGCCATATCCTCCTTTATTTCACTCACTGTCAGAGCTCTCACACCTAATCACACGCACACACTGTAAGACTGCACGAATATGATTACGTGCTTAATGAGCACCACATACATGTCTAAATGGCAGAATGACAGCAGCAGATAGCATGAGTTAATTATGACTTTATTTCTCTGCGATAAACCCTTTCTCATATCCATGAAGCACTGCTCCGTTATGAACTGATAGGCTCATTCTCATTTCTAGAAAGCACCCTCATTAAAATAGCATTTCACAGCCTTTCAGACTCACAATAACTGCTTTGATGCAAAGCCAACGTGTTTGAAAGGAGAGAGATGAGACAGAGAGAGGCAGACGGAGAGATGGAGAGAGAGAGTAGGGGAGCTTGAGAGTGAGAGTGAGAATTAGAAAACGGGAGAGAGTGAGAAAGAGAGAGAAAGTAATATAGAGGGCACTGAGAGATGGAGAGGAAGGGGACATAGAGAGAGACGGAGAGAAAAGAAGAGAAAGACGAGGAGATCAACACAAAAGGAAGAATGAAAGGGTGGAGGGAGAGAGTAAAGAGTGAAGAGGGAGAACGGTGCATGGAGAGAGAAACAAAAAAGAAGGAGAGAAAGTGAGTGAGGGAGAGAGAGAGAGAAAAATAGAGAGAGAGACAAAAAGGGAGAGAGAGGAGAAAGAAAAAGAGACAGACAATGGGGGAAGAAGACGCATGGAGAGAGAGAGAGAGGAGAGAAAGAAAAAGAGAGAGAGAGAAAGAGACAAAGGGGGAAGAAGACGCATGGAGAGAGAGAGAGAGAGAGAGAGAGAGAGGAGAAAGAAAGAGAGACAGAGAGTATATATGTATGTAATATAGATGTCCTTTTTTCCTTCTACTTTTTCCCTTGTTACTCACATAAATATATTTGATAATTAACATTTTTTTCCTTCTCTTTCCTGTTATAAACTACATACACATATTAAATTGGTTGTGTTTTATTATGACATATACGTTTATATTATTAATTGATAATTAACACTTTCTCTTCTTAAACCTTGGTTTTGTATTTTGTTTTTTTTTATTATTAACTTTTAATATATAGATCATTTTTGTAGTGCTTTGACAGTAAAAATGTAAATTTGTCATGTCAATAAAGCAAACTTGAACTTGAAAGAGAAAGAGAAAAAGGGGGAAGAGGATTCATGAGAGAGAGAGAGAATGAGAGAGAGACAAAAAGAAGGAGAGAGGGGAGAAAGAAAAAGGAACAGAGACAAAGGGGAAAGAAGATGCATGAAAGAGAGAAGGAGAGAGAGAGGGGAGAAAGAGAGAAAGAGGGAGTATAAAAGAGAGAAATAGAGAGAATAGAGTCAGAGTTAAAACACAATTTGGACTTTTAACTGATGTGAACTTCAGAGTAAAATCCTTTTGCTTTGAGTGACCCTATACCTTAATTATATTTACTTATTAAAATAAATGATTGAACATTCCATTTTGTCACAGTCATAACAGTCATAACACCACCGAAACTTTACCTAACGTTTCAGTAGTGACTGTTTCGGTAGAGTAAAACTCAAAAATGCTAGCCAGTGCATGACTAGCAAACACAGCTTTGAACAGCTATACACACATAAAATCATAATGCTTTTACACAACAAAAGTTACTGAATTGCAGAAAATATGTGTTTCAGTAGTGACCATTCTTAATGTTACACACTGATTTTCAGACTTTGGGACACATTTACTGTGGCCATAAGGGACAGGGATGCAGTCTCATCTTCTGCTCTAAAACGCAGGGGCATGGCCAAAATAAGGCTCTGCCTATGGACTAACACTCTTTGTGTTTCAGTAGTGACACAAAAACGTGGGACAGCATTTTTTGAATCACGTTTTTTATATTTCAAAATTGAACTCCCAAATCTAAATCTTATAGGGAGATAGAGAAACAGAGATGAGAAAGGGAGGAAAATAAAGAGAAGGAGAGAGAGAGAGAGAGAGACATATTGGGATGAAGACAAAAGGAGGGGGACTCTTACCTCCCTTCTAGGCCATCAACATATTCTTTCTTCTTCTTTCTGCTCTCCTGTGCCGACTGCTTATTCCGAATCTTTCTGCGAATCTTTTTCAGGATCTTCTCCTCATACTAATGAAGGGATGGAAGATGTAGAAAAGATGCTGCTTTAATATTTCAAATAGATAAAAGAAAGTAGAACTTCCTGGCAGAATTTGCACTTCTAGTAGAGAATGACTGCCAGTAAGAGCATTAAAGCTGAAGACAGGCGATTCAGCTCAGTTCCAGAACTGAAGATAAGAGACACAAAAGGCAGTAAACAAAGTAAATTGGATCATTCTCAAAGCAGTATCTACCAACTTCTCAAACTCAGAATGCTTTGTTTGGACATATCACAATCCAGATCTAGCTTTACTATTTTGGCAGTTATTATCTAACTGCACTGAAAAAGTCATGCAGTGAACTGATTTGATTCGAATGTGTACTGGGGGTGGGCAATATGAACTGAAATATACAGTGAGCGCACAAAACACCTCATGAAATACTTATTGGACATTTTATCAGAAACATCTACTGTACAGGTCCACTTTGTATGTTTACAGTTACACAATTCACTGTAATTGTAGAGCACTGATATATTTTCTCCTGATTTGATATACAAATAAAAAACTGATAATGCCAAAAGCCGCAGCAAGAACAGTAATAATAACAATAAAGGTATGGAAGCAAGGACCTTCTCAACTAGTCCTATGCTCTCTCCTACAACCTCTCCTCCGGTTTGTTTTTGCCTATTTATCCATTCTCATGTATAAAACGTAAAATCACAATTATTGGCAAAACTGAAAGATGTAATTGTGTTGATGTCATATATTTTATTTTATAAACGCTTCTCAATCAGTGGTTACCAATCCTGGTCCTCTGCCCTGCACTTTCGTGTCTGCCCTGCTCCCAACACACCTGATACAACTAATCCACTAATTAACA